ATAAGCCAGTAGATAGGTCTAACATAGTACTAAATATCGATAACGAGGTATGTCACGAAACAACTAAGTGGCAAATTGCTTTAATTCCTACTACACGCCTGTTGCATCAACACTAGTAAGTAAACTACCAGCTGCATCAAATACCTTTAACACAGACTCTGATAAGTTTCAAACATACTATACCAATAAAGGGGTAACCCCAAACAGTTGTCAACTAGTAAGTGTATCTCATGACTTTATTAAAAAAAACTAAGCGGGTTAAACGCAACTAAGAGCACCAGCAATGATAACATCCCGTCTAAGTTCCTAAAAGATGGTGCCTCTGAATTACCAATCTCCATTACTCACATAATACATTTGTCCATCACCACTAATACTGTACCAGAGGGGTTCAAGGAGGCTAGAGTTACTCCTGTCTCCAAGAAAAATAGTAGGTCTGATATCAGCAACTATAGATCTGTTAGTATACTCAGTAAAATATCCAAAATTCTAGAAAGGGCGGTGTACTGTCAACTAGTTAAGTATCTTAATGACAACTTTCTTCATAGTTAACAATCAGGCTTTAGAAGATCTTACTCAACCGACACCTACCTAAATTATCAGATGGATTACATGAGAAATGAAATGTCGACAGAGAACCTCATAGGAATGGTAACAGACTTGCAAAAGGCTTTCGATACTGTCAACCACAACATATGAAGTAAGAAACATCAAGCTATCTGCATAGGTTCCGTAGACTGGTTTAAGTCCTACCTTAGCAAGAGGAAACAAATTGTCAAAATCAACAAAACAGAATCAGAACCCCTGCCGATAGCATGTGGAGTTCCCCAAGGTAGTATTCTGGGTCCCATATTATTCCTATGTTATGTAAATGACATTCCCATGAGTGTCAAGTGCAAACTCCTACTGTATGCAGATGACAGTGCTCTGTTAGTGTAAGGTAAAGACCCACAAGATATAGCTAATGTAATAGCGCTGGAACTGGAGTTCTGCAGCAAATGGTTAGTAGACAACAAACTATCGTTAGATCTTGGGAAAACGGAAGCCATACTCTTTGATACGAAACATAAACTGAGAAGGGTAAATAATTTTAATGTCCAGTGTAATGGGGAACCCATCACTTTAGTTTCCTCAGTAAAATATCTATTAATCTCCTTTGACTCATGCATGTCAGGAGAAACGATAGGGAAGAGTGTAGTAAAGAAAACGAATGTCAGAGGATCGCAGGACCCTATGTCAAGCCTTTATACAGTGTCATATGGACTATGCTTGCTACTCATAGTACTCTACCTTGACAAAAAAGCTGAAAGATAGACTACAAATCACCCAGAACAAAATGGTAAGATTGATCCTGGTCCTGGGTCCAAAAGAACATGTAGGCCAGGATGTATTACAAGAATTGGATATACTGAATGCTGAAGACAGAGTAAAACAACTTAAGTTAAATCAAGTTTATAAAATTGTTCACAAACAGTGCCCAGAATATCTTGCTGCTAGTTTTGTCAAGACTGGGAATCAAAGCAATATAGTACTGGGTGGAGAGAGCACAACTTTGTAGTACCCACAGTCAGTGGCCAGGCTTCAAACACATTTTATTGTACAGGAATAAAAGAATGGAACAGACTGCCCGCACATGTCAAAACCAGTCATAGCATGAACCTGTTCAAGAAGGGAGCCAAAAAGTGCCTAATGAATGTAGCGAGAGAAAGGGAGGAGAATGACTTTTATTTTTCTTAGCTAACACACATGCAAATATAAATAACTTATTTTACCTTATTCCTAGTATATGTCCTTTATAGTATAATAATAATCAGATATTATCTCCCTCATAGTATAATGATGAGATTTTATCTCCTTTATAGTATAATAATAAGGTATTAAAAGGACCCCAGTGGAAATAAGTCACTCTGTCTGACATTTTAGTGTTATCCTAGGTTCTCTACACATATGCTGCTGTGTATGATAATCTATGTAACTGTATTTGTGTATACCTGAATAAAATTACTGACTTACTAAGGGAATGAAAATTCGACCCAAAAGGGTTCTTTTTGGTATATAGGAGTAAGTTTAGAGAGAAGATAGGCCCACCTAAAAGTTACTCAGGTCCGCTTACCTTCAGTGACAAAGCAACATGTTCAAAATTATAATGGGTCTGGACGAAAATAGGTTATGTGCGATCAAAGTCACCAGTGACGTGGTTCTCAGACAGATTAAAAGCAAATAAATCCCCGGGCCCTGATGAACTGTTCTCAAGGATTATGAAGAATATAGTTTGCTAAGGAGGAGCTTAACAAACCATATCACTGCAAAGTGACACAGCGCCAGATATGTGGAAAATGACAAATGTGATAAATATCTATAAAGCAGGAGACAGGTCCTTAGCTTCGAATTAGAGACCAATAAGCCTAACTGCCAATGTGGGGAAAATTGAAGGAATCAGTAAGTGCCAAAACAGTTTGAAGTCACCTTGAAAGATATAAATTGATTAGTGAATCTCAGCACGGTTTTACTAAGAGGGGTTCTTGCCTTACGAATTTAATAATTCTTTCACTAAGCTATTTAAGGCAGTAGATCATGGTAATGAATGTGATACTGTATATGTCGGCTTCAACAAGGCTTTTAATGGACCTCCACACAAGAAACTGTTCAAGAAAGTAGAGGCACACGGAATATAATGGGATTTTTTTTCCTGGATAGAGGTGTGGTTGACAGATAGGCAACAGAGAGTTTGCATAAATGAGAAGAAATCAGAGTGGAGATGCGCCACAAGCCGTGTTCCACAGGGGTCAGTGTTGGGCCCTTTGTTGTAAAGAAAATACATAAACGACATAGATGAGGGAATAAATAGCGACATAAGCAAGTTTGCCGACACTAAAATACATTGTCAGATACATTCTGAAGAAGACTTTAGAACGCTACAGGATGATCTGAATAAGTTGATGCACTGGTCTTGGAAGTGTTAGATGTTGTTTAATGTAAACACATGCATGGCTCTGCCCTGGAAAAACAGAATAGCCTTGGTACTTATAAACTAAATAATGTAGATCCCTTTCTGAATGTAAAAAGATTTAAGAGTTCTGGTTAGCAATATCTAAGGCCAAAACAACAGTGCATAAGTATTCGCAATAAAACTAATAGAATTCTTGGCTTCACATCAAGAAGTATACATAAAAGAGTCTTGAGTTTGTGCCTCACCTTTATGTATCCTTGGTAAGGTCTTACTTGGATCATGGTACACAGTTCTCATCTCCATAGTATAGAGTGGACACAAATGCGCCAGAAAACATGCATAGAAGGATGCCAAAATTGATCCCATGAGGGTTTAGGAAGTTATCGGAGCTATTACAGGATAGTCTGGAATATGGTCAACATAGAGCTACTGCAAATGACAATTGTTCCTAGAATTTTGCCATAGTTACCGTAAACCAATGTTGAAAATTTTAAGACGCTCGGACGAGGCATTGTTTTCATGAGCAAATTCTCTTTTTAAGCAGGATACACAGGTGTTGATGGGTAAAAGATAAGCGAAAGCTTATATACTGGAGGAGAGAGGTAGGGTAATATATATACAACTATTAGGAGAAAAGGCGGGTTAGTGAGAGAATGAAGGTAATGAGGAGGAAGGAGGTATGGGATAGATTTAAGAATACAGTGTTATAGTGTGCAGCAGAAGTTTGCAGGTATAGGAGGGTGGAGAGCGAGTGAAGTGGAGTGATTGGTGTCATGACGAGGTAAAGAGGGTGGTAAAGGGGAGAAAAAGTTAGCTTATCTGAGGTTTTTACAGTTTGGAAGTGATAGACGGAGGGTGGAGTATGTGGAGGGAAAAAAGAGAGGTAAAAAAAAGTAGTGAGGGAGTGCGACAGAATAACTAATGAGAGAGAGAGAGAGAGAGAAGTTATATCAACACAGTATGCTGAGAATAAGAAAGCATCCTGAAAGGTAAGGTTTTCCTGTGAGCAAGAACAAACTATCCGAAGACCTGGTCATGGACCCGAGGCCTGGTCATGGACCCGAGGCCTCGTCATGGACCCGAGGCCTGGTCATGGACCCGAGGCCTGGTCATGGACCCGAGACCTGGTCATGGACCGGGCCGCGGGGGTGTTGACACCCCAGAACCCCCTCCAGGTAGACTCCAAGTAGGGCTAATAGAGAGGTATACATAAGTAAACAACAGTTAGCATGACCAGAATGGTGCCAGCGTCACTGCTGCTTGAATGCGCCGCCACTAGACAGGGAAGAGAGACGCCAGGCAGCCGATTGATTCATGAGGTGCTAGCGCAGAACTTCCCATCTAACAGATGGTAGGTGAACAAAGTGAACACAGAGGGAAGCAGTGAACCAACTGAAAGTCGCAGACGGCATATGAACTCGCAGATGAGTCAAAGGTCGTAAGTGAACGTGTAGATGGACACATTAAGCGAACACACAGAACCTATGAGGAGAAACTTAAGGAACTGTCTCACTAGATATAGGATTAGAAACAAACCATACCACGGGCGGGGTTAAAACCCGCGATCAGAGAGTCTTTAAAGTCCAGACCGACGCGTTAGCTACTGGGCCAGCTAACCACAATAAGACTCATCCAACTAGGTATATTTATACACCATAGGAGTGTTAGCATAGGCACCACTGTGAGCACTAATGCAAGTTTGCAATCGGGTCATTACGATTTCATGAGTCAAAGGATTAGAAAATGATTAAACATGATAACCATATACAAAATACTCAGAGGAAGAAGCGGGGAAACAAATACACAAAGGCACAATTGACACAAATGAGTCATAGGGATGTTAGGAAGTACTTTTTCGGCTTCAGGGTGGACCGGAAGTGAAATAACTTGGATGAAGAAATAGCTACTCAGACAGCACAAAGTATACACAGGACCCAGTGCTTGTAAATTACAATGTGAGAGACGATATGTCCCCTGCTAAGGCTCGGCCCCTACACCCACAACTAGGTGAGGAGAGTACGTCAGAAAACACAGGCTACATTTCACTAACCTTGAGCCGCTGCCACGACCACTGCCATCAGTAAGGTAATGTGGAATAGTTGGTTCATCTTCTTCAGCAAAAGCACTTTCTTTTCTCTTATTCTTGCAACGTTATGATAGTATTTGCTTCTGCTTATCTTCTCTTCGTATTTATTCTCTTGCGCTCGACGGGTAGTGTGCGAGAAGTGACACTGGGTGTGTGTGTGTGCGAGAAGTGACACTGGGTGTGTGTGTGTGCGAGAAGTGACACTGGGTGTGTGTGTGTGCGAGAAGTGACACTGGGTGTGTGTGTGTGTGTGCTTGGGAATTACCGCGCGTATCCGTCGGATCCGCCAGTCTATCTGACCGGACGTTTTAGTGTGCTCTCTTTTTATACGTATTCTACCAAATGACGTTGATCACTATCGTGTTTAGCCGGAAAGTAGATGTTGGAAGGTATTTATACCTTCTAGGAAACCACACCTACAGGATTATTAGCCGGGAGAACGTTGTAACCCCACGCTGTGTCCGTCTCTTAAAAACGGAACTCCGGTATCATCGGTGGGAGTGACGCTCTGACTCATTCACTGTATCTACCGATACTACAATACCGGCAATATCAGTCGGTAAAAAAAGTAATGACACACCAGTCTCTCTACTGAAGCCATAACTTCACAAGTGTTGAACCTAATGTAGAGAAATTCAAGGGATATGTTGCTGAACAGTACCAGGTAAACTTTACGACAGGCTGCCATAACGACCAGGGGAAAGTAAACTTTACGACAGGCTGCCATAACGACCAGGGGAAAGTAAACTTTACGACAGGCTGCCATAACGACCAGGTGAAAGTAAACTTTACGACAGGCTGCCATAACGACCAGGGGAAAGTAAACTTTACGACAGGCTGCCATAACGACCAGGGGAATGTAAACTTTACGACAGGCTGCCATAACGACCAGGGAAAGTAAACTTTACGACAGGCTGCCATAACGACCAGGGGAAAGTAAACTTTACGACAGGCTGCCATAACGACCAGGGGAATGTAAACTTTACGACAGGCTGCCATAACGACCAGGGGAAAGTAAACTTTACGACAGGCTGCCATAACGACCAGGGGAATGTAAACTTTACGACAGGCTGCCATAACGACCAGGGGAATGTAAACTTTACGACAGGCTGCCATAACGACCAGGGGAATGTAAACTTTACGACAGGCTGCCATAACAACCAGGGGAAAGTAAACTTTACGACAGGCTGCCATAACGATCAGGGAAAGTAAACTTATTCTTTCGACAGGGTTATAATGAAAGAAATTGCAACAAAACGCGTGAATAGAAATAGGAAAAAATGTACCCTAGTAAAAAGAGAAAATAAAACCTGAGCTTACACACATATCTTTAGAAGATATATGTGTCAACACATGAAATCGTTCAGGTTTTATTTCCAATTTTCACTGCAATATTTTTTTTCATAATTAGTAACTTTATATACAAAGCCAAAAAAAAATAATACTTGAGCGTCCCACTAGCAATATTACAAGACAAATAATTTAACTTGCAACACACGATAAAATTTATTAATAACTTGCAAGTCTTTTCGACCGTGCATTTTGTAACAGACAGAAAGGTCAGACAGAGAGTGTGTCTTCCTGGAGCTGGTGTTGGCGACATAGTCAGCAGGTTGGATAATATTATGGCAGGTAATGGGAACAAGCCCATTATCTGTCTTAGTGCTGGGGGTAATGCCATTGGGAAGGGCAGGAGAGAGGAGCTGCTGGATAAGTACATGTCAGCCATAGAAGTAGTTAGGTCTAAGGGAGGGATCCCAGTCATATGTAGCATCTTGCCTAGAAAGGGAGTGGGCAATGAATGGATGTCTAGGGCAATTGGTATAAATTGCTGGCTAGACAAGTACTGCAAGGAACTTGCAATCCCATTCATTGATAACTGGGACCTATTCTTTGGCAAACGTGATATATATGCAAGGGATGGGGATCATCTCTCTGGGGATGGAGTGGTTGCATTAGCCAATTCAAATGAGAGGGTAATTGATGACTTGTCTAGGAATTTAAACTGATAGATTATAGAGGTATGGGTGTTTGTGGGAAACAATCAGGCTGCAGCATTAGGGTTAAAAACAGCAGTTATTACCGGGATACCTCAGGGATATGTTTAAAAGACAATATTCAAGATAAAGTTGCTAGTAATGGCAAATCAATTGATCAACAAACAAAGAGAGATAGTAGAGGGCAACGAGTGACTAGCTCTCTTAAGGTTTATTATACAAATAGTAGGAGTCTAAGAAATAAGATAGATGAGCTAAAATTACTTGCAAGTGAGGTAATATAGATATTATTGGTATAACAGAGATCTGGTTCAACCTGAAAGATAGAGAAATGCCTTCTGAATGCAACATACAGGGTTATAAACTATTCCACACTGATAGGGTCAACAGGAAGGGTGGTGGTGTGGCGATGTATGTCAGAGAAAATTTAAATTGTTGTCTTAGACATGATATAAGATTAGAAACATCGAACACAGAATCTGTTCGGCTACAGTTTCTCGAGGGACGTGACAAATTAATTTTGGGTGTGATTTATAGGCCCTCAAACCTTGATAGGGAGGGCAGTAAGCTGTTATGGGACGAAATTCATTAGGCATCTAGATATGAAAATGTTGTGATAATGGGAGATTTTAAATTTAGACAAATTGATTGGAACAATATGATTGGAACAATAGTGACTTTTTTGATACGGTTCAGGAATGCTTTTTAGAACAGGTTGTGACAGAACCAACTAGAGGAAACAATCTGCTTGACTTGTTTTTGCCAACAAAGATTCATTAATTAATAATCTTGAGGTTAATGATGAGCTTGGGGAAAGTGATCACAAATCACTTAGTTTCAATATATCATGGAATTACCCAGATAACTGCAATCAAATCTCTGTCCCAGATTTTCGCTTGGCCGACTTCATGGGACTGAAAAATTACTTGGGTGGGCTAAATTGGGATGTCCTGACTATGGGTCAGGTAGGTGATCTTGGTTGCCAATATGACGTTTTTTCAGAGCATAGTTCTAGCTGCCCAGACAACTTTTGTTCCGAGTAGGGAAATTAGATCTAACAAAAATGATCCCAAATGGATGAACAATAGATTAAAACATCTCATTGGTCAAAAGAGAGGCATATATAGGCGTATCAAAAGAGGGGATGGGCAGTTAAGAAATCAATATATTCAATTAAAGAGAGAAATAAAAAAAGGAATAAGAAAAGCAAAAAGGGATTATGAGGCTAAGGTCGTAAGGGATTCAAAGACTAACCCAAAAGGGTTCTTTCAGGTATACAGAAGTAAGATTAGGGACAAGATTGGCCCACTTAAGAGTAACTCTGGTCACATCACTGACAGTGATAAGGATATGCGTGAAATTCTAAATACCTACTTCCTCTCAGTTTTCACCCAGGAAAATACTAGCGATATTCCTGAAATAATAGATTATGTAGAAAAGGATGATAATAAACTATGTACGATTGTGGTAACTAGTGACATGGTCCTCAGACAAATAGAGAAACTAAAACCTAACAAATCCCCAGGCCCTGATGAACTGTTTGCAAGGGTGTTAAAGGAATGTAAAGAGGAACTTAGCATACCTTTGGCTAATCTTTTTAACATATCACTACAAACTGGCATAGTGCCTGATAAGTGGAAAATGTCAAATGTAATACCTATTTACAAGGCAGGTGACAGGTCCTTGGCTTCGAACTATAGACCAATAAGCCTTACCTCCACAGTGGGAAAATTTATGGAATCAATAATTGCCGAAGCAATTCGTAGCCATCTTGACAGGCACAGATTGATTAATGATTCTAAACATGGTTTTACAAAGGGGCGTTCCTGTCTTGCGAATTTACTAACTTTTTTCACTAAGGTGTTTGAGGAGGTAGATCATCGTAATGAATATGATATTGTGTATATGGACTTCAGTAAGGCTTTCGGTAGAGTTCCACACCAGAGGCTATTGAGGAAACTTAAGGCACACAGGATAGGAGGAGAAATTTTTTCCTGGGTAGAGGCATGGCTGACAAATAGACAGCAGAGAGTTTGGATAAATGGGGAGAAATCAGAATGGGGGCACATCACAAGCGATATTCCTCAGGGGTCAGTGTTGGGCCCGTTGTTGTTCACAATTTACATAAACGACATAGATGAGGGAATGAATAGCGACATAAGCAAATTTGCTGATGACACCAAAACAGGCCGTCCAATTCATTCTAATGAGGACACTAGAGCACTCCAGGATGATCTGAATAGACTGACGCAATGATCGGAGAAGTGGCAGATGCAGTTTAATATTGACAAATGCAAAGTTCTAAATGTTGGACAGTTAAATAACCATGCCACATATAAACTAAATAAAGTAGATCTTAATACTACTGACTGCGAAAAGGATTTAGGAGTTCTGGTTAGCAGTAACCTAAAACCAAGACAACAGTGCATTAGTATTCGCAATAAAGCTAACAGAATTCTTGGCTTCATATCTAGAAGTATAAATAATAGAAGTCCTCAGGTTGTTCTTCAACTCTATATATCCTTGGTTAGGCCTCATTTAGACTATGCTGCTCAGTTCTGGTCACCGTATTACAGAATGGATATAAATGCTCTGGAAAACGTACAAAGGAGGATGACAAAGATAATCCCATGTATCAGAAATCTTCCCTATGAGGATAGAATGAGTGCCCTGAATCTGCACTCTCTCGAAAGGCGTAGAATTAGGGGGGATATGATCGAGGTGTATAAATGGAAAACAGGAATAAATAAACGGGATGTAAATAGTGTGCTGAAAATTTCCAGCCAAGACAGGACTCGCAGCAATGGTTTCAAGTTGGAAAAACTCAGATTCAGGAAGTATATAGGAAAGCACTGGTTTGGTAATAGAGTTGTGGATGAGTGGAACAAACTCACGAGTACAGTTATTGAGGCTAAAACGTTGTGTAGTTTTAAAAATAGGTTAGATAAATACATGAGTGGATGTGGGTGGGTGTGAGTTGGACCTGGCTAGCTTGTGCTGCTGGGTCTGGTGCAGTGCTCCATCCTTGAGTGGAGGACCAGACTGGGTGGGTCATTGGAATAATCCGGGGGGTGGGTCATTGATCTAACCCGGGGGGGGGGGACATGGACCTGCTCCGCATGGGTCAGTAGGCCTGTTGCAGTGTTCCTTCTTTCTTATGTTCTTAACACGCTCATGCACGCATGCTGGAAGTCCAAGCCCCTCTCCCACAAAACCTCCCTTACCCCTTCCTTCCAACCTTTTCGAGGACGACCCCTACCCCGTCTTCCTTCTACAGATTTAAATGCTCTCCATGTCATTCTACTTTGACCCATTCTCTCTAAATGACCAAACCACCTCAA